ATAAAAGTGCTATAAAATATAGCAGGATGACGATTAAAGCGGTTTTTAACAATATGTCATATAGAGGTGTGAAAAAAATGTCCCAGAACTCCCCTTTTGTCCCTACTACTTCCTTCAACAGAAAGACAGATAGATTATAATGGTGTACTTATTAGAGCAGAAAAAAAACTATATAATCTCAAGTTTCTTGAAACATTCTTATATATAGCTAAAAAGGTAGTGGAAATAAAAAAAAATAAAACAAATAGTAGGCCTTTTCACATACAAGTTAGAAAGAAAAAAATTATAGCTAGCCAATTAGCTTATATAAACAACTAAGGTTTAATTTCCAAACTGGAGTATATTCTGCAAATGGTAGCATTAACAGAAAAAGAGTTGAATGCAATCTACTAGCCATTTTTGATACTGATAAAAAAAAAATTAGAAATAGCACAAACTACATCTAATAACATTTTAGTTTATAGTAGTACATTAGAAGTTAAATTGCTTACTAATGCAGTACTAGCAAAACAGGCCATAGTATTAATCAAAAGACTAAACAGTACAGGAATAATAAAGAATATAACACAACTAAGAATTAGACAAAGAATACTCAGAAAAGACATAACTCAAGATGTCTAAAGTTTACTGACAACTAATCTAACAAGTTTCAGATAATATTGTATTAAGTATAGTTAAACATTGCAAAAATATAAGTTTGATATTTATAACAGAAGAAAAAGGCTGAAGTACCCAAGGCTCAGGAGCAACAATAGCAAGCATACTTAACCTAATAAATAGAAAAGGATATAAAAAATGGCAAGCTGACTTAGACCTGACCTCTATTTCATTAATTAACTATTAGATGTAAAGAGTAAAAACTTGTTAACTTGGCATCAAATAAAAGCAATGAAAAACTGTCATTGTAGCAAAAAAGTTTTACACTAATATAAGGTGATAGAAAATCTAATGCTTGTAAGTGAAAAAGAACATAAAGTCAAGTTGCAGTTTCAAGCACAAGAGACAAATCTGGAGGCTATAGTACTAGTCCTCCAGGTATTAGTGCAGATAAAAGACAAAAAAATTGGGTCCTACAATGTGATAAAACAAATCAGCTCAAAATTATCCATATTTAGAAAAAGGAAACAGATTTAATAGTAGTTAATCATTGGGTCGAGTCAACTCTGAGAAAAAAAGAAGCTTACATAGAACAATGTAGTAGCTATAAACTTAATAAAATAGTTAATGAAAATAGTTGTACTTTCAAATTAAATATAAGCCAAATAGTAAGAAAAATAGACCACATTATTAAAGATGAAGATAGATAGTATTTCAGAATTCCATTAGAAATTTATAGTATACTTTGTGTAGAAAAAGATATTTCAGAAAACATATTTGAAGGATTAGATGAAATAAAAGACAAAGAACTTGAGTATATAAACAATCTCAATCTTCTAGCAATATTCAAACAGCATTAACGTATAGTCTAAAACTTAATCTTAACCAAAAGAGATAGAATTGTATCTTCTATACTGACAGCTCTTAGGTTCTAAATAAACTAATTGAAAATGAGAAAGATAAAATGGGTGCTAGTTGGTTCAAGTTACAGAGAACAAAAAAGCAGGAGTTTTTAAAGGCAAAGTTAGAATAAGTGACTAGTTCTTATTAACAAGACCCGAGTTGGCTGCAATTTTGTGTGCCTCTGTTAACAGTAAGAGGGAATATATATGTGCAGGTTAAGACGAATAGCTCAGCGGCAATCTTAGCTATAAGATGGACATTAAAAGAAAAAGATTTTAGCAAAGAGCTGAAAATGAAGAATTGAACAATACTTAACAAAATAGTAGAAACCATCCAGTTTAAAGAACTTGAGCTTGATTTAATAAAGGTCAAAGCATATAGTGGAGTAAAGTAGAATGAAAAAACAGATAATATCACAAAAAGAAGGTGCTTATCTTGATAAAACATAGAAGTGGCCAAACAACCTGTGATCATGCTGGAGTTTTGATATAAGGTAGCAAGAAAGAAGTATTGAATATCCACTTCGAAAGTTTATTTTGAGATTAAAAAGAAGACTCATAAAGAGTAAATAGTATCTATTCAAAAGATGTAAATCACTATGACAATTAGATCAAAAAAGTAATCCTATATAGTCATGTTGCTGGAAAAGATTAAGAGAGCTTAGAGGCCAAAGATGCAAATTGCTTCAAGATAGTAATAAGCTCATAAGCCGGTTAAAAAGGTTATTTGGCATGCTTCTAACACTAGACAAACTTCACTAACACAACCCAGATATATACACTTTACTAATGTGTATAATGTATAAAAAAGATGAAATAGAGAATATAAATCATCTTTTTAGCTATAAATCATATCAAGAGATCTGGAGGCAGATAGAAAACCAAGCTCTTTTAATAGTATGGACCATGCTTGAAGAAGAAACTAGACTTATGTATTTTATAGAAGAAATCAGAAAGGTAGTTTTTGGGAGTATACAAGAAGAAATGTTAGAAAAAAAAAAAGCTCTTACATATGGTTTAGCTTGCCAGGCTGATTTTTCAAGGCTACAAGTAATAAATGAAAAACACAAGTTAAGTAAACAATGCTATGATGTGCTAGTGTATATTATTATACAAGAGTGTTTCTATAGAGTGATATGAAGAGAAAGATGTAAGAAATTTGCAGTATAGAAAGAAAGTATAGATATAAGCAGAGCTATCAAAAGGGGAAAAAGGTCTAGAGATAATAGTAATATCCAAGTAGAAGTTAACTCTATAGCAGAAAATGAAGAACTGACAAGAAATATTGATGCAGCAGAAAACTGTTCAAAAAAGCGACAGAAAAGGCGAACCAAAGTAACAAGAGATGAAGTCTCAATTATAAAAAGACTTAGAAGCTTAGAAGACTCTTTAGTAGATAATGAAGTTGCATCAACAAGTCATTCAAGCAAGAAACAGAAAGAGAATGAAGACAGAGCCAAAATATTAAAAGTAGAGAAAAAGAAGAATAGTTTAGTTACGTTTGAAGAAAAAATAGTTGAAGTTTATAAATTAGCAATAAAAACAATAAGGTTACAAATCTTGAGTTCATTTTTAGCGAGATGGTGGTCAAAGTAAAGTTGAAAGTAACATAAAAAATAAGGTAGCTAAGTACTATGCTATAGCAGGTTTTGAAATGTGGGTATTACTGCATGTGGAACCTGTTGGCAAACATCAGTGTGATAACCATTCTTGGGCACTTTTATAGCAGTCGGGTTTTGCCTAATATGTATTTAGATAGATTAATTTTTAAATTATAATATTCTAATAAATTAGTGTGAGGTTATCAAAGAAAAAAAAAAATTACTAATAATTTATTTTATAATATATATAGGTTAGTTCAGAATCTTGAATTTTAAAATTCGAAATAAACCAATTGTGCTATTTCTTGCTAATAGGTTAGAGCAAATACAAGCCCATCTAAATTCAGATCGTTAAATATCTCTCAAGTCAAATGAAATAATTGATCTTTGCTAAACATATTAATATGATACTTTATTATATAATACAATTTTTAAGGAAGTATTTTAATTAGCATATGAAAAATTTGGCAAGCATATCAATAATCATTTAGCACTTCCGATTTTTAAAGCAGTTCATTGCTTTGATCTATGGTATATACAAGTACAAACTGATTGATACAATATTACATTATACAAGGCAATTAAAAAACTAGAAAATCTTTCAAATAATCTTATTAGTGAATAGGCAATTTATTTAGAGTTATCAGAAGTGTTTAGTGAAAACTTTGATTTAGACAAGTATTGGCACAAAAAGAAACCTTTGTTACCAAATCTTAGTCAAATTGTATTAATATATATTTGGTTGCCAGCTTTAGGCATAGATGTAGAACATAGTTTTTTAGCTTATAACAGATAATAGATATGCGTTATTAGAAAATTTAATTAAAATATTAAATTTTTTGAATTTTAATAAATAAATAAATGTTAAGAAAGGTTTAAAATCATATAATTAATCACATAATCAAAAGAAAACTTCACTCTTTTTGACGATCATCTGGACAATATTTTTCTGAAAAACTTTTTGACTAAAAAACAGTAACATACTGCAAGAAAAATGTAAGAATGGGAAAAGGGTATAAGAAGAACTGCACTTGTCATTTAGAGATAGTTCTTATATGCTACTTGCCGACAAGCTTAGAGTTTATCACTTACAGCAGCATAGCACTTGTTGTTTAGAAATAGTTCTTATATGCTATCTGCCGACAAGCCCAGAGCTTATCACTTACTGAAAAAACTTAGTACTGTGCAAACTTGTAGAACACCTGTTGATGTCTTTAGAACTCACACTCATTTGAATATGTGCTAGTGGTCTTCTCTGTGTTTTTCGCTTTTGCCGTTCTCACCAAAAATTTCGACAAAAAAGTGGGCATTTTAGCTTACCCCCTCTAAAAGATCGGCATTGTTTACACCTACCTAATTCAGACGATTTAGTAGAATGCAACCATGTGTTTGTTTTGTTTATCGATACAGTGCTATGGTACATAGAAGAGATCGCCACCCCGTTTAGGAGATACTCGAGTCGAGTTGGTGTCCAGAATGAGTTCCAAAGCTAAACCGAAGGTTTACAATTGAGATATAGTAATTAGTTGCAATTATTATATAATTTTTATCTTTATACCTGG